GGGGCGGGGTCAGGCGGGTCTGGGGGATTCCTCCGGAATCGCGAAGGGGCCCGGATGCGGGGGCGAGGCCGTAGTCGGGGCGCCAGCCACAGAAAAGGGAAAAGATAAGAGTATGAGACAGACGGAGAACCTGGGGCGGGAGGCACAGAGGCACCAACAGGAAGAGACCGGTGAGCCAAAAGGCAAAACAGAGCAACCACGTGGTTCTGCACGGGCCCCTTCCTCCTTCTGGGGCTCAGTTTACCCACCTGGGTAATAGGAATTTCGGCAGAAGCATGTTTCTCAAAGTTCGGCCTCGGGGAACCTTTCGCGTCAGAAAGATCTGAGAGGCAATGTAAAAATGCATTGGGCGCGGTGGCTCACGCCTGTAATCCCAGCACTTCGGGAGGCCGAGGCGGGCAGATCACGAGGTCAGGAGATCGAGACCATCCCGGCTAACACGGTGAAAGCCCGTCTCTACTAAAAATACAATAAATTAGTTGGGCGTGGTGGCGGCGCCTGTAGTCCCAGCTACTCAGGAGGCTGAGGCAGAAGAATGGCGTGAACCCGGGAGGTGGAGCTTACAGTGAGCCGAGATCGCGCCACTGCACTCCAGCCTGGGCGACAGAGCGAGACCGTCTCAAAAAAAAAAAAAAAATGCAGGTTCCAACTAGGCGTGGTGCCTCACACCTGAAATCCCAGCACTTTGGGAGGCCAACGCAGGAGGATCCCTTCAGCCCAGGAGTTTGAAACCAGCCCAGGCAACATAGGGAGACCCTGTCTCTACAAAAAAAGAACAAAAGAAGTTAAAAATTTAAAAATACAGATTTCTGTGCCACTAGAAGGGATGAATCTAACCCAGGGTTGTGGGGCTAAGATAAATCTTTGGGGTGAGGTGGAGGACGCCTGGAGACACCATCAGAGGATCGCCAAATCCAGCCTCAATTTCCATAGGAATGAGCCTGCAGGACACACAGGAGCTTCCCGGCTGCGCAGCGCCAGCTGGGGTCCACCAGAGAGGATGCAGCTGTGACTCCTGGGAACCAGGCCCTGGAGCTACTCCCAGGCCCTCTGCGGCTCCATTTCCGCTCTGCAGCCCCAACTCTGGGTCCGGGTTGCGGCTGGGGCCTAGGGAGCCCATAGCAGCCTCGCTGTTTCTTCCTCCAGGAAGCCAGACAACAAATTGTTGAGGGCCTGTTGTGTGTCCTGACCTTCACCCGGGATTCAGGAAGACCGTGGCACAGGCCTCAGGAGGCAAAAGTAAGTTAAATGTCTCATTGGCCGGGCCCGGTGGCTCACCCCTGTAATCCTAGCACTTTGGGAGGCCGAGGTGGGCGGATCACCTGAGGTCAGGAGTTTGAGACCAGCCTGGCCAACATGATGAAACCCCGTCTCTGCTAAAATACAAAAATTAGCCGGGTGTGGTGGCACATGCCTGTGATCCCAGCTACTCGGGAGGCTGAGGCAGGAGAATGGCGTAAACCGGGGAGGCGTTGGTTGCAGTGAGCTGAGATCTGGCCACTGCACTCCAGCCTGGGCAACAGAGCGAGACTCTGCCTCAAAAAATAAATAAATAAATAAATAAAAATAAAACATACAAAAATACAAAACAAAAAAAATTTAGCTGGGCGTGGTGGTGCGCATCTGTAGTCCCAGCTACTCAGGAGGCTGAGGCAGGAGAATGGCGTAAACCGGGGAGGCGTTGGTTGCAGTGAGCTGAGATCTGGCCACTGCACTCCAGCCTGGGCAACAGAGCGAGACTCTGCCTCAAAAAATAAATAAATAAATAAATAAAAATAAAACATACAAAAATACAAAACAAAAAAAATTTAGCTGGGCGTGGTGGTGCGCATCTGTAGTCCCAGCTACTCAGGAGGCTGAGGCAGGAGAATGGCGTAAACCGGGGAGGCGTTGGTTGCAGTGAGCTGAGATCTGGCCACTGCACTCCAGCCTGGGCAACAGAGCGAGACTCTGCCTCAAAAAATAAATAAATAAATAAATAAAAATAAAACATACAAAAATACAAAACAAAAAAAATTTAGCTGGGCGTGGTGGTGCGCATCTGTAGTCCCAGCTACTCAGGAGGCTGAGGCAGGAGAATGGCGTAAACCGGGGAGGCGTTGGTTGCAGTGAGCTGAGATCTGGCCACTGCACTCCAGCCTGGGCAACAGAGCGAGACTCTGCCTCAAAAAATAAATAAATAAATAAATAAAAATAAAACATACAAAAATACAAAACAAAAAAAATTTAGCTGGGCGTGGTGGTGCGCATCTGTAGTCCCAGCTACTCAGGAGGCTGAGGCAGGAGAATGGCGTAAACCGGGGAGGCGTTGGTTGCAGTGAGCTGAGATCTGGCCACTGCACTCCAGCCTGGGCAACAGAGCGAGACTCTGCCTCAAAAAATAAATAAATAAATAAATAAAAATAAAACATACAAAAATACAAAACAAAAAAAATTTAGCTGGGCGTGGTGGTGCGCATCTGTAGTCCCAGCTACTCAGGAGGCTGAGGCAGGAGAATGGCGTAAACCGGGGAGGCGTTGGTTGCAGTGAGCTGAGATCTGGCCACTGCACTCCAGCCTGGGCAACAGAGCGAGACTCTGCCTCAAAAAATAAATAAATAAATAAATAAAAATAAAACATACAAAAATACAAAACAAAAAAAATTTAGCTGGGCGTGGTGGTGCGCATCTGTAGTCCCAGCTACTCAGGAGGCTGAGGCAGGAGAATGGCGTAAACCGGGGAGGCGTTGGTTGCAGTGAGCTGAGATCTGGCCACTGCACTCCAGCCTGGGCAACAGAGCGAGACTCTGCCTCAAAAAATAAATAAATAAATAAATAAAAATAAAACATACAAAAATACAAAACAAAAAAAATTTAGCTGGGCGTGGTGGTGCGCATCTGTAGTCCCAGCTACTCAGGAGGCTGAGGCAGGAGAATGGCGTAAACCGGGGAGGCGTTGGTTGCAGTGAGCTGAGATCTGGCCACTGCACTCCAGCCTGGGCAACAGAGCGAGACTCTGCCTCAAAAAATAAATAAATAAATAAATAAAAATAAAACATACAAAAATACAAAACAAAAAAAATTTAGCTGGGCGTGGTGGTGCGCATCTGTAGTCCCAGCTACTCAGGAGGCTGAGGCAGGAGAATGGCGTAAACCGGGGAGGCGTTGGTTGCAGTGAGCTGAGATCTGGCCACTGCACTCCAGCCTGGGCAACAGAGCGAGACTCTGCCTCAAAAAATAAATAAATAAATAAATAAAAATAAAACATACAAAAATACAAAACAAAAAAAATTTAGCTGGGCGTGGTGGTGCGCATCTGTAGTCCCAGCTACTCAGGAGGCTGAGGCAGGAGAATGGCGTAAACCGGGGAGGCGTTGGTTGCAGTGAGCTGAGATCTGGCCACTGCACTCCAGCCTGGGCAACAGAGCGAGACTCTGCCTCAAAAAATAAATAAATAAATAAATAAAAATAAAACATACAAAAATACAAAACAAAAAAAATTTAGCTGGGCGTGGTGGTGCGCATCTGTAGTCCCAGCTACTCAGGAGGCTGAGGCAGGAGAATGGCGTAAACCGGGGAGGCGTTGGTTGCAGTGAGCTGAGATCTGGCCACTGCACTCCAGCCTGGGCAACAGAGCGAGACTCTGCCTCAAAAAATAAATAAATAAATAAATAAAAATAAAACATACAAAAATACAAAACAAAAAAAATTTAGCTGGGCGTGGTGGTGCGCATCTGTAGTCCCAGCTACTCAGGAGGCTGAGGCAGGAGAATGGCGTAAACCGGGGAGGCGTTGGTTGCAGTGAGCTGAGATCTGGCCACTGCACTCCAGCCTGGGCAACAGAGCGAGACTCTGCCTCAAAAAATAAATAAATAAATAAATAAAAATAAAACATACAAAAATACAAAACAAAAAAAATTTAGCTGGGCGTGGTGGTGCGCATCTGTAGTCCCAGCTACTCAGGAGGCTGAGGCAGGAGAATGGCGTAAACCGGGGAGGCGTTGGTTGCAGTGAGCTGAGATCTGGCCACTGCACTCCAGCCTGGGCAACAGAGCGAGACTCTGCCTCAAAAAATAAATAAATAAATAAATAAAAATAAAACATACAAAAATACAAAACAAAAAAAATTTAGCTGGGCGTGGTGGTGCGCATCTGTAGTCCCAGCTACTCAGGAGGCTGAGGCAGGAGAATGGCGTAAACCGGGGAGGCGTTGGTTGCAGTGAGCTGAGATCTGGCCACTGCACTCCAGCCTGGGCAACAGAGCGAGACTCTGCCTCAAAAA